GCCCAACGCGCCACGGGGCCGCCGGGCAGGAGGGAGGAGAGGGGGAAGCGACCAGGGAGGAAGCAAGGAACGACCGAGGGACGCCCAAGCTCAGCCAGGAGTTGTGGCGCAAGGGCCAGGTCCTCGGGGTCGGGGCCTTCAAGGCCGTCTTGGAGCAGGGAAACAATGCTGAAGCCCTGGGCAAGGTCAAGGCAGTATAGTACCCGCGGTGCGAGGTATCCCCACGGTGCTCGACTTGCAGAGGTCACACGCGCTGACGAACAAGATCGGCATCGTGTTTGACGGGAATTCGGGGTCCGACCTCCCAGGAGGCACCGCCGGCGCATGGCCCCGCGCGACGTGAAGCAATTCTTGGAGGAAAGCGATTGGACCAAAGTCGAGCTCGAGAGGCTCCGGCAGGGCGCGCAGGGCCCCAGAGGTCGCTGGACTTGCTAACTAGGCCGGAAGATTCGATTCGGCCGTGCGATAGGCCGGCAGACGTATATTGATATGGAGCATGGTGATACACGTTGTTTTGATATGTTATATATGAAATATAATGATATTATATATGATATATATGATATGTTATATCGTATGTATTATTCATTGCATACATGTATGTATCATACTATATAGAAAAAATGACATACCACCACCAACAACCAACGAACGCAGCCAACACATACCAACCAACAACACCGAACACCAATTCAACGCTACCAAAGCCCAACTCCAGAGCGCAAAACAACCACCACAAACCACCCAACGAGCTACCACAGCGCCTGTCCAACCAGCACCAACCCAACCAGCGCCGACCCAACCAGCACCGACCAACGACCAACACCAACCCAACCAGCACCAACCACCAACAACCAGCGACCAGCACCAACAAGCACCAACCAGCACCGACCCAACCAGCACCGACCCAACCAGCACCGACCCAACCAGCGGCGACGGCGACAGCGAAAGCGCGACGGCGAAGGCAGCAGCGGCGGTGGGCGTCGTCGTCGCCGCCTCGTCTCGTCGCCGTCGTCGCCGCCGCGCCGTCGTCGGCCGCCCCCGCCCTGACAGCAATCGACCCGCCGACGCCGTCGAGGCCCCGATGGGGGGCACGGCGCGCGCCGCGCAGGGCGCGGGCGCGGGCAGGGCGAGGCCGCGGGGGATGGCGCCGAAGGGGAAGGAGGAGAGGCAGCGGTGCAGGCCGCTCCTTCTCCGTTTTCCCTTTTCCTCTTCCTCCCCCCCCCTTTCCTCGCCCCTTTCCCCCCTCCCTGCTCCTTCTCCGGCCCCCCCCTCCCCCCCGATCCCCCCCCTCCTCCTCCTCCTCCTCCTCCTCCTCTTCCTCCTCCTCCGCCTCTTCCTCCTTCTCCTCCCCCCTCCTTCCTTCTCCTCCTCCTCCTGCGTCTGCTCCTCTTTCTCCTCCTCCTCCTCCTCCTCGCCCCCCCCCCTCCCTCTTGCCCCCCTTGCCGCCCTCCCGCCGAGGGGCGTCGACGCGATCGCGTCGGCGATCTCCCCCTTCATCAAGACGAGGGGGTGGATGCAATACGGCACCGCCCCAGGCCAGACAGGGGCTGGCCAAAACGCACACCCGTTCGCAATTTGTTTCTGGCCTCAGATTTTTCCGGTTTCAGAGTTTTCAGGCTTCCAGATTTTCAGGTCTCAGGTTTTTCAGGCTTCCAGGTTTTCGGGCTGGTTTGAGAAAAAAATTAAAAAAAACGTCGGGGGGCACTGGCGAACGAGATGCGCTTTGACCTGCCCCCATTAGGCAAGGGCCGCTTCACGCCAGACTGCGTGAAGGAGGTGCACAAGCACTACGAGGCGGGGCGACGATGAGGGCGAGAAGGGCAAGGAGGAATAAGGAGGAATGACGGACGGATGAGGGAGAGGATGAGGGGGGTGATGAGGATGGTGATGAGGAGAAAGGAGGAGGAGGAGGAGGAGGAGGAGGAGGAGGAGGAGGATTGGG